CTTGGGCAGACGCACAAGCTGCACGAGCTCGTCGTACGGGATCGTGGCCATCATCGAGATGACCGTGACATGCGACGGGAAGTGGAGCGCCGGCAGTTCCTAGCTCGCCGCCAATGTAAGAGAGGCAGTACGATTGCAGTGTACCTGGCGCGCAACGTCCGGGAGCAAACCAATGAAGATGACGTTGGACGCATCAATGACGGCCTGGTTCGTGGCCGCAATCGTGACCTTGGCCGGGAACTTGGCCTGCAGCGCCTTGGCCTTCTCCGTCCCGCGCGGGCTCACGAAGATGGCCTTCGGCTCCCACGTCGACTTGGCGGCGACGGGCGAGCAGTAGCCCGTCATGACGGCGCTGCCGATCTTGCCCGTCCCGAGGAGACCCAGCACCACGTCGTTGCCCAAAGCTGCCATGCTCTTGTGTCGTTGGTAGCCGATTCAGAAATGGCGTTATCCGTACGCCCGGCCCAACATCCGGATACGCGACACGCGGATCGCCACAAGCACCTGCGCGCCTCATGATCCATGACACAGATGAACGACCAACTCATTTAGGTAATAGTCGCTTGGTGCGCTGGTGCTCCTCTATGGCGTCCATCGACTACGTGTAGAAGCGACTAACTAGAGTCGTGCTAGCGGAGGTCGCCCTTGGTTTTCTTTTGGCGGGCGCGGGGCAAGACCATTTCCGTCACAAACTGCTCGAGGCGCTTGTGCAGCGGGATGTACGGGTTGCAAATGACGTGCTCCGTGAGCACGGCCAGCGCCTATATCAATGAGATATGCGCTGTTTGTTGTAAGGTAGCACCTCTTCAAACTCGGCAAAGTCGATCTGGAGCTCGTCGTCGGTCGTCGTCGTGCTCACTTGCGTCTCCGTGTCGTCGTACTGCCGCTGCACAAGGATGAACACCTGCTTGACGATCGCGTCCGTGACAAAGAAGCCCATGAGCTTGCAGTCTTTGGCCAGATTGAGGAATTCGTTGACGTCGAGGGTCGTGCTCGACTTGCTCGCGGCCGTCATCTCCTACACACACCTCTTGTCATGCAACGACATGTGGAATGAGGCGTATACGTCGTCCGTCTTCATGTTGGAGTAGTACTTGAAGATGTGCTGGAGCGCACTCTTGTATTTCAAAAAGACGGCCCGCACCTAGTGCACCATATCACTATGGTCTTCCAGAGCAGAGAGAGGTCGTACGTCGGGTGAGTGCAAGAGCAAGCGGAACGCTTCGGGTTGCGACCGACTCGCGTTGGGCAAGACGCACTTGTCCAGCAGCTCCTGGATCCGCTCTTCAAAGACCATGCTCGGAAACTTCTTGTCCGCAACCAAAATCAGCGCATGCACAAAGTCCATCGGTGACATTTCGCGCTGCGCCGTGCCGTCATCCCTACGTCATTCTCGGCGTCAGTGTCATTTTACATACTATGTAGCCACGCACTGGGCCTCGACGCAGTGGTGGTAGATGGCGTCAACGATGGGCAAGTGCACCTTCTTGTCGACAATGTTGCAGTCCTTGCACAAACATGTCATTGGCGTCACGGTCACCTCTCAATACCTTGATGAATTTGATGTACTCTTGGAGACTCATGGTCGCCGAGTGGCCGCGCAAGGTGCTGCAGCTAGTATACCACGTGTCATGCATGACACTACTGGCGCGCGCAAGGCAGACCTGTAGTGGCGGAAGATCGCGTGGAGGTCGTTAAAGTGCTGCTTGAGCACTTTTTGGATGCCAAAGACGCGCGTCATGACCTCCGTGTCCGAGATGCTGCGATGGCGCGCCGACGGTTCGTCCGAAATGAGCCGGCGGATCGCATCCGCGCTCACGCTGGTGAATTTGCGAATCGTGTCGGCGCGGCGCTCGTCGATGATGTCGCCGTCGACGCCGCGGTCGCGCTGCGACAACATCTGCGCGCCATCAGCATTTACATTTTCAAAGGATCAATGTATCAAACACAATACCCGCCACGTAAAGCACAAGATCTTGTGCAGGAGCTTGGAGAGGACACCGGCACTCTCGTTGCTTGCGCACACGAGCGACGTCATTTCCTTCTGGAGCAGCGTGTGCAGCTCCTCGACGCGGCGCATTTCCTTGCCGAGCGTCACGACCATCATGTTTTCGGCGCCGAGCGGATCGTCGGGCATGCGCTTCACCTCGAGCATCAAGCTCCGCACCTAGCAAGTCTGCATGTAGACAGACAAGTTGTCCACAAACACACCTTTTTCCACGCCGAGACGATTTGGAGAAACACCTTGCGGCACTTTTCCGTGTTGACCTTGGAAAAGTGCCCGCTACAACAAGTTTTGCCATCAGCTTGCAACTCAGAATATCTATAAGAACGAACGGCGAGAGGGTGAAGAGCACGCTGATAAAGACGGCGTTTTCAAGACCGCGCTGGGCCGCGATCGAGTCGGCGGTGACGATACCCGGGACTTTGACGTCGCTCGAGGACTCGACGCGCAGCGATTTGTTGAAGCGCTCAATGTTGGCCAATCGCTGCTCGACATCGATTTCGTGCACCATCTAGTCGCCTCGTGTTGAGCATGGACAATCATTGTCCAAAATCAATAAATGTCGATGTACGTGGGTGTCGTAGTCGAGCGGAAACAAGTGGTGCAAGAGCGTCGAGAATTTACTGCCGTCGGCCAAGTCGTCGGTAAAGTTTTTCAGCTACGCCATCGATTGACCATGGTGGGCGAAAGTGGACAAGTTGTCTACCATTCGGTCTTGCGGTCGCAGCACAATCTTGCTCTCCTCGAGCTTCATGCGCGCCCAATGCAACAAGATCGTGTCGACGGGCTTGCTCAGGACGTTGGTCAAGTGCACGTCGTGGTACCCCGTCGTGATCTTGTCGATCTGCGCGTGTTCCTCAGCAATCTACCGCATACCAATACGTTTGTGTCTTCTTGAAAAAAAGCAGTGTGTACACGCCGGGAGAGCTGGCGCAGCTCGGCGCCATCATACTGCGTCTCGAGCGCCTCGAGCGACTCTTTGCTAAACTGAATCA